TTATATATTAAAGATAATAAAAAATTGTACATGCATACTCTACAAGTATATGTATGAGGTGTAAAAATATCTAATAAAACATAACATTTAGTCAAACAACTAACCTGAATAGACATTTCATCCAATATTAAACCACCTTCTCTACCATATTCATCAAGATCCAACTTATCAGCCTCTTTGACAAGCCAGTCCAACACATCATCATTCAGTCCTGCGCTCTGTTTCACTGAGTTCTTGTATAGTGACAACAGTCTTCCTGATGGTAGTTTAAACATTCCACTTTCTTGCAATTGCTGATATGCATCAGGACTTCGTGTCCACACAGADAGACAAAGACTTACAATCCTAAAAGTAAATGATTCAATATTAAGCTTGTAATATAATTATAATAACAATATCTCTCATGTGGTGCTATTATACCATATTTATTATGAATTCTGATGATGCAGTTGTGCACACTCAGTACAATACAGTCATTATTAAATTGTTTATTGCGAAACTTACTTTGGATTCCATCTATTCCCTCTTGCATCAGATTTTTCCAGCACCTCCTTCTGTGCTTCCCAAAACATTCTCATTTCATCTGGAATTTTGCTGTCTTCCATTTTTTCAAACATTGCCTTGAAGTCATTGTGGTCATCTTTTGAAAACTCATCCATCTGTTCTTGAATTTCTTTCTTCCTGTCTACTGCTCTGCCTGCTCTTTTTTCTGCATTCTTGGCACGGGTTTGTTCTTCCTTGAGCCTGCTTTCTAGCTCTCCTTTGCTCATGTATGAAAGTCTCTTCTTCTTGACTTGTTTTTCTTTATCCTGATTYGAGCAYTGYATATTGTTCAGCCTACGATGACAATGACTACGAATATTTTCACAGTTTCGGCACTTATATTCGTGTTCGTTGCAAATCATGGAACAGTTGACGGCTCGATRTCTAAGAGATTGAATCTTAGCTCCTTWATCATCACATATCTCCCATTGCTCGGTCTCTCCAATGACGACTCCATCTTTGYYTTGCACTGGGGCTTGAATTTTGACTTCAAAACCTTTGCACTGTGGAACCACTGCACAAAACTCGAATACATTGTCCAGGAATGCCTTTGTCATGCCCTTCTCGTTTTCCAAAGTRAAAACCTCTTTTCCCATAACAGAAAACGTTAGCGCAAAGTCCTTGTTTATACGCAGTTCCCTAACCATGTGTTTGCCATCGCAAAGATCGTCGCTCGATAATATCATCCATTGTATCGCATCGTCCATAAACATGTTCTTTGATACCGACCAGGACATGAGAGACGTCTCAGGCTTCGGCGGAATGTAAACATTCAAAATATCATCCCACAACATTTGTGAGTGACTATTTGTCTTTGCAACATTTGAGTAAATCCAACATCTTGTTGGTCCTGTTTGTAACCTTATGACTTTTCGTTCCCTCTTCGCAAAAGGAAAAGTCCACTTAATGACACGTCCCAGTTCATGTGTAGGCACATCAAGCGCGACTGCTAACTCATCCATGGAGACGAAGCTTCCTGCCTCTTTTTCATACAATTGCCACAATCTGCAAAAGTTTAAGTCCCAAGTTAAAAAACATTAAGCTTTATACACATGCAGACGTGAACGTCCAGCTATCATAACAAGGCCTATAAACATGATAATGCTTACCTTTTAGCAGAACCAATCCCTCGAAAAGTGTATGCTCCTACTGTACTTTCCATTCTTTCTATAAGTAAGCAATAAGTTCGTTTTTTTCGGTTTAAAATGGGTTCAGAAAACAATTTGTGCTAAAAACGCAAAAGCACTGCGCTGCGTCCTGCTGCGTATTTTCTGACGACAACTTCACACGCCATATTTTCCGTCCTACCTTCGGTGAAAGTTCGCCGGCCCGTCGATTCTTCGTTTTCCGAAAAAGTGTCCCAGCTACCTGGTGCACACATCGATCCATCACGTGACTAGTGTTTCATACCTTGTCACAGATTAGTATGTAGTCGCGAGGCGCGAGATAGTGACGTAACACCACAGGTAACCCGCATTTTTGCTAAGAGCGCGCGCCGATACATATACATAATAAAAGCGTACGCATTCGTTCTTTTCTGTCTCTAATGCATTAGTTGGGCGGCCTATG